TGAGATTACCCAGGCTGTCACCGCCATCCTGTCAAAATTCCAGCCTTTAACTCTAACTTCATCCACTTTCCCGGGAAATCGAGGGCTGACTGACTGTCGGATGATTTGGAAATCTAGGAACGGGTGGGTGTAGTTGATTCTAGACATGCATGCCTTCACTTCAGTTCCTGACCACCCACATTGCACACCATTCACACCACAGCCACAAGCATCCACTCCCTCCACCACTGACGCTCCGCACCAGCAGCAGTGTGTACTATCTACAAGATGCAGTGCAGAAATTCACCAAAGATCCTTAGAGAGCACCTTTTAAACCCATGACCACTTCCACATAGAAGGACAAGGACAGCAGAGATGTGGGAACACCACCAGCTGCATGCAAGTTCCCTTCCAAGCCACTCGCCATCCTGACTTGGAACTATATCACTATTCCACCATGTCACTGGGTCAAAATCCTGGAATTCCCTCTCTGATGGCATTGTGGGCGCCCCTACATCAAATGGACTGCAGTGGTTCAAGAAGACCGCTCACCACCTCCACCTTCTCAAGAGGGAAACCAAGGAGGGGCAATAGAATGCTGGCCCAGTCGGTGATGCCTACATCCTACCAATGAATGAATAAAAAGTGTGTTGCTCCACACTACTGGGAACCCTTTTGCCTTTATGATTGGCTGTGTTTAGGGCCATGATTCTGGACCCTGAATAAACTCTTCTGAGTGTTCCAAGTTTCTTTAGGGAGATGAAGAGGCTTGTAGCATCTGATGAGCCACATGATTACTGCTGCATGTGGCCAGTCAAACTACCAGGCCAGTGAGTTACACTTCTGCAGGGTTTTGCAGCCAGTCCCCAATTCCTTATGATTCTGTGTGAAGAGGGATAAGCTGGTTCCTCTTTTTCTCCGTTGATCACATCAAGGCTAATTTTTTTAAAAAATCCCTTCGCTCTTGGATACCTTTTCCTAGCCCAAATGCATTTATGCTTTAAAAGGAGACAAATTAACCAGATTATAGAGAAATACTTACTTTATTAGCTGCTAAAAACATGAGAAAAGATAATAAAATGCGATACATGCACACAGAGTAGAAATGAGAAGTCAGTCAAAAAGGTAAAAATTAAAAAAAGAATGTACAAATCAGTCTTTGGCTCCTCCTTGACGATTGATTATAAAACGCTGTGTCTGTTGAGTTGGTTGATTCTGGTAGCACTGCCTTTGGCAATAGAGCAGTTGTTTGAAGGTTTGTAGTTTGGACCCACAGTGTTGCAGCCTCTGAAACAAGCAGGGCAAAGAGACAGATCCTAAATCCATCCAAGGTGGAATGTGGCATCAAAGCCCTCACTATGGGCATCCATGTGAATCAGACCGGACATTCATTCGTACACACACACACGCACGCACTGGGCCAGCATTTATCCTACACTTTTACCAGCGATAGATAATGGTTGAGGCTTCAATGTTGTTCTCCTTACATGGCTGATTGGGAATCTCTCCCATCTTACCCCTTCCCATTGGCAGGTGTTGAAAAGATTTACAAGTTGATAGTCAACCACTTTTGGGCTGTATTACAAGCACACCTTCCTTGCCCATTAAGTCCTGGGATGGGAATTGAACCCAGAGCTTCTGGTTCAGAAGCATTGATAGTACCCTGTATGCCTAAAAGCTCCTATGCAGACACCAGCACGGTCATTCATGGGTTAGTGGTGAGGAGGGCTGATCTACTGTGAGGGGTATTTTTTTTTAAAAGAGAAGGAACCATGCTGACTTGACTTTAGATGGTTACCGTTGCCAGGCCAATGATGTCATGCTTGTCCAATGGTTTTAATATCTAGACATTATTTATCACTTTTGGCTCAAATGTGGTTGACAGTGACGTTCCAGTGAAAATTTATCGAGGAGGAAATGTGATGCAAACATTAAATTAGACAAGAAGCTACTCCAAAACTAATGCTGGGCCGTAGCCAGGTTACTGTCTGCTTTGTGACCATTTAAGGCAATGTTACTGTTGCAACAGAAATATCAGTAAATGTGGACAGAAGAATTATCTGTCGCTGGCTGTTGGACAACATTCAGAATCTGTGTTATCAGATTCTATTTCAATGTGCTCGACAGAAGATTGCCAGCTCATTGTTTTATCAGGAATTAAAAAGAAGCTATAAACTTTTTTTAATATAAAAAAGACTTACTTGTGCTCTCCCTCACTACATAAGAAGAGCAGCACAAATAAGATGGTGGATGGGCTCTGTGGGGAAGAGTTTTTTATTCTGAGCTTTAGCAGTGACTGTTTGTTTGTTTTGGCTTCCAATTTCTTCAGATACTGCTTCTTTACTTCAGTGTTTTTGAGATACTTCCCAAACTTATTTCCTTTGCTCCTGCTTCCCTCGGGCACTGAGAAACAGTTTTGACAAATTCAGAGAATCCGCAGCTACTCTGCGATTGTAGTGAATCTGCACAGGTGTGCTCAGCTGGCGAGAGTCAGAAATGTGGACAGCAAGGAAAGACTGACCCAAATGAACTAGCACTTACATAGCACCCTTCACTTTCTCGGGACACCTCCGACTGCCAATAAGTTTTATTTACGGTGCAGACACTATTGTCATTCCTGCTGGTTTGTGTACAGCAAGCAGTGAGATACACGAGTCGTGAATCTGGTTCAGGGGGCTTGGTTGGGCCATCAGTAACAGTCAAGAACCCTTCTCTGCGATTCTTCAGACTGTTCAGTGAGATTTTTACTTAAGAGAGTAGATGGGGCCTTGGTTTAACATCTCAGTCAATGCTTCACTGTGAGCGCGTTTTTTTTTTATCTACACTTTCCACTCATAGACGAGTTCCTGGGTAGGGATCAGGAGGAACAACATTTTCTACATGGAAGACTCCTTCCCCTTTAGTTTTGTAAACAAGGCGTGGCAAACTTAAAAACAGGGGGCGGGCCACTGGAGAGAGAAGTTAGGAAGCTGGAGCCCGTATGTTAGGGATTGAGAGTATAATAGACTGTTTAATGCCAATTAAGTGCATCCCTCTGGACAGGCAGCCACTGTGTAGGAAACAAAAGCCAAGGAATGTGACCACCCCACCCCCCTCGCCACAATTGTTGCCCTCTTCATTATCCCAAAGCATGGACCTTATTGACTGTTGAATAAGCTTTGGAGAAATAGTTGAGTTTATCAGCTACCAATTTTGTAAAGCAGTAGATTTGGCAGAACAGAGCTCCCTTGTTAAAAAGCATCAGCATGCAGCCTATAGGCTGGCTTTTCCACCTGTGCATCAAACGACCAAAGAATAAAAACCAGGTTGGTTCTGCATTGTCCAGTGGCCAATATGTGAAGGTGGACTTGAGGCGTGTGGTTTACGTTTTAACAAAGGAAGGAATTCGATAACCTCGAGGGCAAACAAGTCTGGAGTGAATTAGCCTCCACCGTCTGCTGGTCTCCGTCAGATCTTTGCAGAAGAGCTGCCTGATATGGTTAAAATATGTTGCTTCGTCCTGTGTACACAAAGCCAGGCTGCTGCCAGGTTTTGCTCTACAAACTGTGAGCATTTTTGTGGTAGTCTTTTGATATTGGAAATGCATTTTTTCACATTTCAAATGAGTCTTACGCAAACATTTGGGGTAGAATTTGACCTTAACCGAACTGTAAAATGGTTCATAATGAATATCAGCCTGTTTAACTGTCTCACTCAATTTTTATTTTTGAATTCAGTGGGCTTCACCCAAGAGTGAAGAGAACCAGCTGTCTTTACAATTGGGTGGGAGGACGAGTGTGGTTGTCACCTCTTTAAATGGAGGCAAATGTATCCTCTACAAACAGACACACGCATGCACGCAAACACATACGCACGCACGCCAACACCACGCACGCACCAACGTGCGCCCACACAAACACCACGCACGCACATACCACGCACTCACACTCTAACCCAGTATTCAGAATGAATGCTCTAACTCCAACTCTCCAGAGGCTGGTTTGGAGTTTGAACCTTCCTCCCACCCCACCTCTCCATTGTCTCAGTGGCTGCAACAAAACTGAAGATACAAACCCCGAAAATTGTATCACCGTTTTAAACAGTCGAACCCCAAAATTGCAAGTCCCCTTTAGAAAGTTGGGAGGAGTAGAAACGGAGCAGTGTAATTATCACCTCCTTTGCATTCCAGCCTGTGTGAATACGGTCCCACACAAGAAGTTGACAGGACGTCCATTGCCAAGACTCAAGGATTTCTGAATATAACCTACTACTTAGGGACCAGTCTTGGACAGATCTTGTTGCTTCTTTCCCGATCCAGCATCAACTGGGTTGACTCTTGGCTTAGGTTCTCAGAGAGTTATTCATAAGAGTTATTATTCTCCTTTCCACAGTAACCACTGATGACTTGAACTTATCTGGCATGAAGACCCTGGAACATGTGGCAGTGACAGTGACCATTGCACACCCAGCTCGGGGCTCCCTGGAACTGACCCTATATTGTCCCAGTGGGATGTCTTCACTCATCGGAGCCAAACGCATCATTGACACGTAAGTGGGTACTTGCAGGAGACTTTCCAAAAAGCTTTCTAGAAATGTCAGGGAAATCCTATAGCTCCAAGCAGCTGATGTAGAATCATTTCACAGGGTGAGGCCATTGATGGCTAGGTCAGAATTTACTGCCCATTCCTAATTGCCCAGAGGGCAGTTAAGAGTCAACTACATTTCTCGGGTGTCTGGAGTCACATGTAGTCCAGATCAGGTAAGGATAGCAGCATCTGAAAACAAAAAATGCTGGAAATCACAGCGGATCAGGCAGCAACCATGGAGCGAAACCAAGCTAACAATTTGAGTGTAGATGACTCTTCATCAGAGCTCGATACATTAGCTTGCTTTCTCTCCATAGATGCTGCCTGACCCACTGTGATCTCCAGCATTTTTTTGTTTATAGTACAGATTCCAGCATCTGCAGTAATCTTCTCCTACAAGGATAGTAGTTTCCCTCCCTAAAGGGCATTAGTGAACCAGATGGGTTTTTCCGACAATCAAAAATGGCTTCATGATCCTCATTATATTCCTAATTCCAGATGTTTATCAAATTCAAATTCCAACGGCTACCATGGCTGGGTTCAAACCCGAGTCCCCAGAACATTACCAGGTGTCTAAGTTAACAGCCCGGCGATAATACCACTAGGCCATCCCCTCCCGTATCAATATCAATATAGGGAAATAGCATGTAGAAACAAGTATGTAGAGAATGGTTGAGAGCCTCTGTGTAGAGGTGTGGAATGGATTGGTAATTTTTGCATGACCGAAGAAATGTAGGCCTTTGTGCCCAGCTAAGTTTTTTTTTCCTATTTGTTATTGAGCTATGGGCATCATTCCACCATTAATCGGCCAATCCTAAATTCTCTTGAGAATGTGGCAATGAACTCACTTCTTGAGCCACTGCAGTCATTGTAGTACAGGCACTCCCACGGTGCTGTTAAGAAAGGTGGTCCCGGATTCTGATCTGGTGACGATAAAGGGACAACAATTAATTTCCAGGTCAGGGTGGCATGCCACTTGGCAGGGAACTTGCAGATGGTCGTGTTTCAATGCATCTGCTGCTCTTGTCCTTGTAGGTGGTGGAGGTCATGGGTTTAGAAGGTGATTATGAAGGAGGTTGGCAAATTTCTGTAGTGCTCAGTGCAGGAGTGTCGGAGGGAGTGAGTGTCGGAGCTGATGTACAAGTTGCCGATTGAGCAGGCTGCTTTGACCTGGATGGTGTCAAGCTTCTTGAGTGTTGGAGCTGCACCCATCGAGGCAAATGAAACATCTTTCATCAAGGTGCTAACTCATTCCCCATTGTTGGTGGATGGGTTCTAGGGAGTCAGGAAGTGAGTTACTCACCACAGAATTCCCTGCTGTTCTAGCTACAATATTAATATGGCTAGTCCAGTTTAAGCCTCTGCTCGATAGTGAACCCCAGGATTTTACGAATGTCGGCTTTGGTACAAATTGCTGAAGCTCCTTCCCTCTCGTTATTTATGTAAACAAATCCTCCCTTCCATTTTAAATCGCTTGATGCAGTCTTGGCACCCAGTTCCTGGACATCTGCCAAATGATACACAAATTAATATTTTTTTAAGTATAAGTTGCCACTTGTATCCCAGATATCATTGAACTTTTGAAATTCAATATACGACATGTTTTGCTACCAGGATTGTTTCTCAATACTGCTGAATGACTATTAGCCTGGATTAAAATATTATCACCTGATAGTGCAATTATAGAATTATTGAAGCTACCATAGAAGGACACCATTCAACCTATTGTGACTATGCTGGTTTCATAAAAATGGAGCTGAGTTCAGGCCTGTAGCCTGGTTTTTTTTGTAACTCTGTTTTTTCACCTTTTAATTTCCTATCCCAATGCTTTTTCAAATTTTAATGGTATCTGTTTCTCCCACACCTTTGAGTGTTCCAAATTCCGACAGCTCTCTCCCTGAAGAAACTGCTCATCCTTTCTTGTTTAAGGTTTTTCCAATAGCCTTGGGCTAATTCTCCACAGGGAATACCTTATTGACCAGGTACTCTATCAAATTTCCTCAGTACTTTCACATTCTTTTGATGAGGTCACCTCTGAATGCTCCCTATTCTGGACTAGGATTGAGTTGAGATCAAATTTCACCCAAAGGGTTGTAAACCTGTAGAACTCCCTGCCCAGTGAAGCAGTTGAGGCTACCTCGTTGAATGTTTTTAAGCCAAAGATAGAGTTTTGAACAGTAAAGGAATTTGGGCTTATGGTAAGCAGGCAGGTAAATGGAGCTGAATCCACAACAAGATCAGCCATGAGATAACACAGTGTGGAGCTGGAGGAACACAGCAGGCCAGGCAGCATCAGAGGAGCAGGAAAACTGACGTTTCGGGTCGGGATCTTCCATTTCTGAAGAAGGGTCCCGACCCGAAACATCAACTTTCCTGTTCCTCTGATGCTGCATGGCCTGCTGTGTTCCTCTAGCTCCACACTGTGTTATCTCTGACTCCAGCATCGGCAGTTCTTACTATCTTTGAAGATCAGCCATGATGGCCTACTCCTGCTCTTATTTCTTGTGTTCTTATTCTTGAGAGAACAGTTCCCAAATTTTCCCACCTGACCCCACAACTGAAGCTCCTTTTCCCTGGTTACATCTGTCAAAATTCCTCTGTATCCTCACTAGCGTTGATGCATCTTTCTTGGATTGCATTGTGCAGAATTGCTTACAATGCTTCAGTTGAGGTCGCTTTTGTAATAAAGTTCTATGTGTTCCCAAATTTTTTTTGGGGGGGCGCGCAGTGAAGATATCTGTGTTGGCAAAAAGTGTACATTTGAACTTTTGAGATCATTTTGGCCCAGGGTAGAAGATTCGCAGGTTTTCATTTAGTATGGAACGAGTTTGCTCTTTGATGTTCTTTTGTTAACGCTAATTTAATTCAATTAAGCTTCACTGAAGTGGCTGACAGAATGTTTAGATTGCAGAGCATGTCTGGCGACTTACCTTTCTCCCATGCGGTAACTCTAACCTCATTGGCATGCGTACACATGCTCGCACCCCACACACATCCAGCTTGTGTTTGTATTACACACTATCCACCTCTTCTCACGGCGAGAAAACAGTTTGCTTCAAAGCTCTGAAATTCAATCTTTAAACTCCTAAGTCATAAGACGAAGCCAGCCTTGCAGAACTGGTGATCCCAAACATTCGTTCGTCTGAAGACTTTTTGAATTGTTCTTCTCATTTTAGCAATTAGTTTCTCACATTGATCTTGTGACAATCAGACTGTTGCTGTTCAGCATTCAGTTGGACTTGATCTTGTGACGATCAGACTGTTGCTGTTCAGCATTCAGTTGGACGTTTTTCTCTGATTTTGGTCTTATTGCTGCTGATTGATTTTAAAAGCTATTTGTTTTGTCAAGTGACAGGAGCTGTTGTTGTGTGGGGCGTAGCCAGTCTTTCAATGGAACCATTCCTGTTTGGCTTTGAATATTTCCATCAATATTCTTATTGTGCACAAGTCTGCAGTTGTAATTTGCAGCAGAAATCCATGTCTCTAGATCAGACAATGTATGTGCATTTCTTTCTTAAAATAAGGGAATTTTAATTTATTCATAAGTTGTGATCATTGCTGCCTGGGCCAGCATTTATTGCCCATCCCTAATGGGCCTTGAGAGGGTGGTGGTGAGCTGCTTCCTTAAACTGTGGTCATTCATGTGTAGGGACCCCCACAGTGCTGTTAAGAAGGGTGTTCCAGAAATTTGATCCAGCGACAATAAAGGAACGGTGATATCATTCCAAGCAAGCTTGTGTATGGCTTGGTGGGTAACTTGCAGGTATTGGTGTATCTGTGCACCTGCTGCCCTTCTAGTTGGCAGTATGGTATTTTCCATTGTACTTTTCGGTGCCAAAGTCGATGCCAGGTTGTCCGTCTGATTTTGTTCTGTTTGCTAGGTTTCATAGTGGCTTAATACAATTGAGTGACTTGCTCAGCCATTTCAGAGGGCAGTTAAGAGTCAACCATAATGCTGTGGTCCAGAGTCACATATAGGCTAGACCAGGTAATGAGGGCAGATTTCGTTCCCTACAAAGCATTAGCGAACCAGATGGATTTTTACGACAATGTTTATGTGGTTGCCATAGGTTCTACTTTCTAATTGCAGAGTTTATTGAATTAACATTTCATCCTCTGCTACGGTGGGATTTGAACCCATAATCTAAGAACAGTAACCTGAATTTTTGGATTACTAGTGCAGTGACGTAACCACTACATCATCATATCCTGCTAATGCAAACCGGAAAGCTGCTCTTCCTCTCTCACCTCCTTTTCCAGTTCAACATTTTACTCCCTTCAGTACCGATCCTTCAACTGCCTCAGCCCTAAGCTTGCTAAACCTCTGCACGTCTCTGTACTCCTTTAAGATACTCCTGAAAATTGACCACTTTTAACCAAGCTTTTGGCCACCTTTTGTCTCTTTCTGTGGCATGCTGTTAATTTTTGTCTGACAGTGCTTCTGCGAAGCAGAGCTTTGTATACACCACAGACGCTATATAAATACAAGTTGTTGTTGCTTCCACCGCATTCTTTGTCCTGTGACCCTCTGTGTTAGTCTTTTCAGTCTGTCCCTCTATTTTTCAGGCAATATTTAATTGACACCGCTAGTTACCAAACTTCAAATGATCTATTATGTTCCAAATCTGAGATCTCGTAACGTAAGATTGCCGTACATGTTTAGATTGGAGGGTTTGTTGAATCATGTCTCTCAGTAACAAATCTGATGATGTCATAATTTCTTTTTAATCAATGATTTGAGCTGCACAATTTTGTGCAAAATGTAAAGGAGAGTTCATTCAAGATGTTGGAGAGACAAGTGGATTTATTTTTGATAAGGGGCAAAAAAAATGTTAGGGATGTATTTGAGAAAGGATTTTGGTTGACTGACATGGGGCAAAGGGAGGATGATCTGTCAGATCAAATGATCTTATCTTTTTCCCCAGTATTTTCCATGCTCCTTTTTGAAGGAGTCTGGAGTGT